TGGGGGTTTCTCACTGCTGGTCAGACAAAACAGGATACTGGAAAACATCACAGTGGCCATTTTTCACAATTTCCTGATGTTTTTCCAGCCAAATGATTTGCACCGACAATATTTCAAGTTAATAGGCAGTTGCAGCTGATAAGAAATTGAAATGAGTGATCAAACTTAAACAGCCAAAAAGAAGAAAGAAAAAAAAACTCATCCCCACACTGTTCGACTGCCAAATGCTTTCTGGGAAACACTGCTCAAACAACAAAAACAACACAGCAATAACTGCTTTGCACCAACAATGAGCGCAAAATAAAAGCCAGACACATCAGCCTGTTTCCGGTCTGCCACCCACACACCAAATGCACACAATGCCCCCCCATCCTCTGTGTCTCAAGCAGCTGAGACAGCGAGCCAGGAAGGTTATTTTTAAAACTTTATCTCAACATCTGACTTCCCATTGTTTTCCACATTTCTGCACTGATCCAAATGTAAACAGTAAACATCTACGAGTGATCTGCTGCGGCCACAGGGAGAGAAAATTTCTGGGGTGGAGGTCCATGAGTCACGAATACTTGTGTGTCACTACGCACTGATCAATTATTGACATGTGGTGTTGAATTAAGACGATATGATGCTGCGGCAACCCCCCCTTCTTCTTTGCACCTCCAGATGACTCAACGGAAGCACACAGAGAGTGACAACTCTCCTGCGGGGTCAACTCACCCCCTCAGGTTACAATATTAAATATTCACGCCGTACCTTTGCATAATTCACCATGTCAACATACCAAGGAAATGACTTGGAGAAAAAGAGGGCTGAATGCTTTGAATTGAGGACAAAAGCTCCAGAGCATTTTAAACAAACTCCTCTTCAGGCACAGTGAAGCTGAAGGCGGTTTTCTGTGCATGATGCAAGTGAGTCCCTGCAAGACTCTGCAGGGATCAAACAGGGTTGCTAATTCAATAAAACAGACATGAATCTAGAAGTATTCAGGGCTTTAAGCTGGCTGTCTGCTCCCTGTGTCTGCCACAGCCTGATGGGTGTATCCCAATCTGAGTGACCCGCCAGGCTCGTTTTCTCTGCCAGGAATGTTTCAGGCGCATCTCGCCATTGTTTAAAACACTGAAAAGCATGTCGCTCGCTCTTTGGTGCCAGTTTAACGGTTCTTCCTCTGTCACGTGATCTCGATGCAAAAGAAAAGAAAAAAAATTCCAGAGCGGCTACTGAAGCCCAGCGCACATGGCGGCCCTCTCTAACAGATGTTTTTCGTTTGTGCTGCTGCAGTCTCTCAGTTCAGAGGCACAGAGCCAGAGAGGTGATTCATGATGCGAGCCTTCTTGTTACAGTCAGCAGACTGAGAGACGGCTCCAGGTTGAGAATAAACACGAGCCCGGCTCTGTTTTGGTAGATTTCCTATTGTTACGATATGATAAAGCTGTAGAAGAAGACATGACAGATGGCACAGATTGTGTGCTTTTATATGTGATTTTGTATATTGGAGCAAGGGGACTGGGCCTGTGCTTTCTCCTCCACACTCACCAGCCGGCTCATTTTCATCCTAAATGGAAAGCTGGTATCACACCGAACGCTCCTGCAAGCCTGGAGTCATTCACGTCTGCAGCTAAATGTGCTTCAAAGCGGGAAATGAGGTCACATTTTAGCATTAATGGACGGCGGTGAAGGTGTTCGCTCCCCTGGTTTGATGCTCCATTTAATCATGGCAGGAAGAAGGGAGGCAAACACTTCACAGCTCACCTGCCTGACCTGATTACACCTCTTCCTGCATGATCAGAGGTGACACAGCATCACAGCGTGTGACTTTGGGTGTGTTTCCCCTGCAAACGTTTTCTGCTTTTTTTTTTTTTTTTTTTGGAGATACAAATCAGTGTGCTGGGCCTGTGTGACAGCAAGGAATGAGGAATAACACAGAATCCAGATCTGAATACTAGGAAAAGGGTTTTCTCTGCTACAGCCTGGCAGCATGCTCTAAAGCCTTGAGTTATGTAATAGTGAACACAGTGAGCTGCAGGCCTGAATGCACATCTTTATATTCCAGCAAAGCCATCCACCCCGTCTATTCTTACTCTTCATATCAAGCGAGATAACACACTATTTTGCATCAGGTCTTAGGCTGAAATAGGTGCACTTTAGGGGCAACAGGTGCAATTATTTTCCCCTTTCCTCTGCGCATATTAATGCATCTGGAGGTCTGAAGGGATTTTAAAAGCTTTCAAACATTACCAGCGGAATTTAAGGTGGATTGCATGCAGCCTTGGCTCTATAAAAAATGCATCCCCGTTCAGAGATGGTGCATTTCGCCTCATTAGTATCATTCTTTATTAAATAACAACAACAATAATATTACAGTCTGTGTGGCTGTAATTATCCATCCATCCTCAACAGGCTCACACCGTGGCCTTACCTCCTCCAGCACATTCACTGTATTCCTGCAGCTCTGCATTCGGGTGGTGAAGCTGGATGTTGTCGGGGAATTGTAATCCTCTGTTGTCTCCGAGAGAAACTCGGACACCGATATTTGATCCGGCATCCTTTAACTGTGAGGGGGTAAATGCCCACAGGAGGGTTGGCGATGAATGCTCAGAAAGACAAAACCATGTAAGATTTAAAAATAGATAGAAAGCACGATGGGGGGACTGTACGGCCGATGGAAAGGCTAAGCCGATTTTTCCCCCTGCAAAACTGCGTTAAACTATCGAGATGATTAAGACGTGTCTTCTTCTCCTGTGACTTCTCAAATGACTTCACTGTTCCCCAAGGGCCCACGGCAGGAGGGAATTTACCAAATATTTGCAGGCTGGGTCCCCCTCTCGATGTGTATTTAAAGCGAGAAGATGTCTAAAAGCGACACATTTATAAATAGTGTCACTCTGCGTCTAACTAAACCACGGAGGGAAAAGCGGCGTAAAGAATAGCGGATGCCCTCATTATGCTCTACAGATGTGCAAAAAGCCGCTTGTCGTCAAAACCGCGCGACGTTACCAGGCTCGGTTTAAATTTTATCATAGTCCACGGTCTGCCGAGTTCGTCTGGTACTTTGGTCCCGTTTTCTTCTGTCGTAGTTTAAGGGTTTTTTAAAAGCTAAACGCTGCCGCAGACACATTCACTGCCACTCTCTCCTGCGCTCGGAGCTGCTCAGAAGCGCTGTCAAGCTTGCGCTGAGACAAAGCGCGACTTCCTGGCAGTAATTTCAATATAAAACACCAGCTAACGCTTTTACATTACGTAAATGCATTTTTAATGAATGGAAAAGACTATATATATATATATATATATATATATATATATATATATATATATATATATATATAAAAGGCGGTAAGCTTAAAACGTCTAAATATGTGTTTAAGAGACAGATAAGCACAAAAATAACATTTATCATCCATTTTTGTTCAGATTGTTGTCAGTAGAGCTGACGATAGCTTGATTTTTCTATCGTGAATTTTCAGTGTACTAATATAAAACGTATCATAGCGGCTAGTAAGCATTTATAAGGGGAAATGTGTTCGTGTCACATGATTTTTATACTTTTATTTTGAAATTATATTCTACAATATCCGTTTTTTCTGTCCATAAACTGAATGTTTTACAAATATCTCTCCCGCCCACCTCGCCTGGTTGACTAGGACGGGGGGCTGCTGTACGCATGCGTGATCTGGACTTAGTAACTGCAGAATGGTCAATCGGTGTAGCTGTAGGCCTGAAAGGGAAAAGAAATATGTCCACAAACACACGAGTAATTTTTATTTTATGGGATGTTTTTATTCTTGGGTAATATTTTGTAGACTAGAAACCCATCTAAGCACTGTAGGTTCACTTAGCTGCCATCAAAGGTGGAAAAATCGCCAGTTGACTTAATGTCCTTTGGGTTTCCAGTACAGTATTTTCCAGTTTAATTTCAGGATTTGCTCAGTAGCAGCTTTTTAAGTTCACTTACGATTTAGTACCAGCAAATATGTCATTGCATTATTTCCCTAATGCTAGTATTGCTCTGTGGTCCTTGTTCTCGGTTTTTCTTGTAGTTTAGCTTGTTAACTGTCACCTGGGGAAAATGACTAGTGTTACAATGGTTTTTTCAGGGAAATGTGTGTCAGTTTGAAGGTCATCTGTTTGAATATAAAGGTAGGATTAATGTAATAGAGCCTGGTAGACATTTTGCTATTATTTTTATCTGCATAATGTTTGAGGCAATGACACTGATTCCCAGCCATCCCAGGATGACTAAATAGGCCCACTAGGTACAGGTCCACGGGGCCATGATCGGGGGGTTCTGGTCCAGAGGACTGCACTGGTTACAAAACACATCTGCAAATTATTCCTCTATCACTTTTCAGGTCATAATGACAAGGGCAAAGTATAGTCTATTAACTCCATCTAGTTTTTAGTTAGTAATATTGACTTTCACTTCCTTTTTAAAACTGCATAAATCTACTCCATGAAAGTACCTCTGTATGCAGCACAGGGCATATTAAAGCATAAGCAGAAGTACAGATTACATTGATATTGTTTTTTCCCCAAAGTTTCAATCGGGAAAGCCCTCCTTAGTCTCTGGTATACAAACCCAAACACGAAGCGCCACCTTGTGGGCATGATTTTGAGTTTTTATATATATATATATATATAACTTCCATTTGCAGCCACAAAGGTGGGTGTACTTAGCTTTTGCCCCACTGTTTCTTCATTTTGGCTTTTTGTGTAACTGTGACACGATGTATTGTGTGTAGTATGTCACGTCTTGCTGTTCATCTGAGGTTATACTAAAAAGTGTTATTTTTATATTATGTCATAATGTGTAAAGTCTTAGAAATGAAATACTTCATTCCTTATGTATTTTTATCACGACTGTCTTATTTTTTACTTTGTTGTAATCCCTCCGTTTATTTCTTGGTGTGTGCGCCATGCAGTAGTAATATCAACTTAAACTGAAAGTTTACTGAAAACGTTTTATTTTGGTTTTATTTTTTTAACCGCTGACCGGAAGTTCTGTTTGTGACATCTGCGGAAAACGTTAGCTAACTAGCTAGCTCATAATAATAAGGTGCGAGGCAGGCAAGGGAAGATTACTGTCGCTTTTAAGGGGTTTCGGATCATTTTTAAGAACCAGAAGACAGGAAACAGGGTGGATACGGTCCCGGAGGGCGTGGACACGCGTGTCATTTCTCTTAAAGCTGCCCTTTACGTGCTGCGGAACAAGCAACAAGCTGTGCTCAGACTGAATGGCCGAGGGCTTCTCAGGTAACTAATGTGCAGTTTTAATAACAGTGACTCACAGGAACCTGAAGCAGCCTAAACCGACTCTTAAATCACTCTGAAGTACTGACTTTAGCAGCTTCGCTAACAGTTACACACTCTCTTGCTAGTTGTGTTAGCTGGACAACCTTAAGCAGCCTAAACATAAACTTTTAGCTGACGCAGTTTTCTGTTCACTTGCTCTGGGTTGCTAATGTTAGCTTAGCATCTCCGAGTGATCGTGCAGTTCGTGAATGAGGTAACGACACGTGACAGCCGGGGAACTTTGAAAGGCAATAGCACGCCAGATGATGGTACGCGTTGCTATCCATAAAATCGAGAGCTGTCATGCTAATTTCAAACTCCATAGTTTCATTACTTGTACATATACTGACCTTAAGGTTTTAAATTAAACACAAGAACAGATCGTCCCCATATAGTTAAGGCATAGAGTCTGGGTTTACTCTACTCAACAGAACTCTTGATTTTGGCCATTTGACATACCGAAATGTATTTTAGGGTTTCGTAAACAAAACGGTATTGCAAACCACAAAAAATGGTCATGATAATTTTACACCGGCGGGTGCAAACATTTTTCCACATGCAGGAAAAAAAAATCTGTCTATAACATTATTTGCTCATGGCAAAATGTTATTGCACTCTTTATTTGTCCTATGCAATTTAAAATGTCATCTCATAAGTAAATAGATCACAACGATCCCCGAAATTCTTGCAAAATGACAATAAATGATGTTGTCCTGCCTAGTTTAAAGTTTTAAGTGTTTTTGCTCTAAATATATTTGATGTTGCTCATAACTTGGTTCTGTTTTCTTGTTGCAGACCCACCTGACCTCAATCCAGATCTGACGCAACATCAAACGTCACATCAGCACAAACCCAGAAGAGGCCGACCCAGACACAGCAATGACAGACACCTCAGTAACAACAGTAATGAGACCTGTCATCAGTATGGACCCTTTAATCAGGGCACTAATCCCCCTTTTAGCCATAGATCAAATTATGAAGATCATCATCGTCCTCCTTACCAAGGAGGAGATGAAGGCAGAAGGCGAGGCAGAGGAAGAGGATGGAGAGAAGGGAACAGAGGAGGTTCTGTGCCATGGCGGCAAAGACCTGGAGGTGATCCATACGGTGGCAGCAACAGATACATGAGTGGTGTCCATGCTTTTGCACATCCCATGGGTGGTGCTGATGGACCCAACTGGCGGCGAGGAAGTGCAAACAGGGATACGGAACAAACTAATGAGGACCAGGATGCCCAGGCTAAAAAACCAAGGAAGTTTAGTCAGGAGCAGCGAAAGGGAGAACATAATGGCAGTTGGAAGGAGAACAACACCACAGTGGAGGATCAAAGGAAGAGAGAAGACTCAGAGTCCCAACATGACAATAATCAGAGGAAACACACTGACCCAAAGCGACGGCAAGGACCAATCAAACCACCCAAACAACCATCACAAGAGGAGCCAGGCTCAGAGAAGGGAGCCAGTGGCCAAGATGACTCTGATCAGGGGCGAGCATCTCAGGATTCTGCAGGCAAAGGTGGAAGAGGCTCAGGAGGGAATGCTCCCCTTCAGGCCAGAGGGGGGAGAAGAGCAAACTATCAAAACTACAAACCTGGTCAGAGGAGCTGGAACAAGATGCCAAAGAGCAAAGAGACGCAGACAGGTTTGACTCTTACTTCTGTAAAATGTTGTCTGGCGATCAAATTCCCCAACTTATTTTACATTTCTATCAACGTTTTACATTTTTATATTGTTACAGTTTTGTCAGACACAAAATGTTTAATCAGAATTTATTGATTTTTTTTTTTTTTTAGGAAACCTGGTTTCCTAACAAACTAACATAAGTTAGTTCAAATTTCCCCGTATTTTGCTGTTAAGTATTTCATATTCACTATATTTGCAGAAAACATTCCTTTTTGGTTGTTTTTGGAGGATTTTTTTTGTCCCTTTTTAGTAACTCTAGTTCAGTTAGTTTTAATATTGGGCCTGAAACCAATGTTTAATGTTATGTTTTATTGATTATTTTGTTTGTAAAAAGGCCAGAAAATAATTAAAAATGCAAATCAAGCTCAAAAAAAGCCCAAGTCCATGTTTTATAGTGCTTACTTAGTGTAAAAATCTTAGGATGTTTGGTTGGAAGCAACCTGAATTATTGATGAGTCTGTCAGTGAACTAAAGGACATACGAGCAGAAAGTTTTGGATAAAGCTCTGTGGGTGGAAACGAAGTATTTGTTGCCATCTTCTGAACCTCTGATCTCTTCCTCCGCAGGGTGTCTGATTGAACAGCTGTCGGAGGAGAAATACGAGTGCATGGTGTGCTGTGACGTGATCCGGGTCATGGCGCCGGTGTGGAGCTGTCAGAGCTGCTTCCACGTCTTCCACCTCAACTGCATCAAGAAATGGGCTCGATCGCCAGCCTCACAGGCAGACGGTGCGGCGTGTGAACACAGTGTTTACTCTGTGTGGGAGCATTTTAGTGTAGTCTGTGTACTCAGCATAGCGAGCTCCTAACAGTGGCTGGTACTCGGTGTTCAGGGATGGTCACTGTGACGGTAACTCGTGCAGTGAAATTCCTGCTGCTTCTGCAGTGCATTGTGTTACATTGAAAACGGAGAGGCCAAGTGGATTTCTGTTATTGTTCCCATTATGAATCTGCGCTATACAATACAACACGTCACCTTCTGTCCTTCATCATAGGAAAAAAATATAGAAAAAATGTTTTAAGCTACATTTAAGGCTAAGTGATTTTTACTTTAGTGCCACAGATGAAAACAGGATCTGAAAATGTGTGTACTGGGAAAGCACATCCTTCCCAGAGGGTGACCCTTTCATTCAGCGTTATGCAGAAAGGAAAAATGGATGCATGTATGTTAAAGTTCAGCTTTTTTGTATCAGATTCAGCTGAAGGTTGGCGCTGTCCAGCCTGCCAGAATGTTTCAATGAAACACCCGACCTCCTACACTTGCTTCTGTGGTGAGTATTTGTTTAATTCAAGCATAGATATACACCACTGCTGAGAAATGGTGATGAACTTGCTCTCGGGTTTGACGATTTAATGAAATTGTTATCATATCCCACTGACTCCTTCCCAAAGCTTCGTTACGTTAAGTTTGCCACAGAGAGTGATGGGAAGAGTTGTTCCGTTTGTTTCATTGGCAGGTAAAGTGACAAACCCTGAGTGGCAGCGTACTGAGATTCCCCACAGCTGCGGTGACATGTGTGGGAAGAAGAGAAGTGGAGTGGACTGCAACCACCCCTGCAATATGTGAGCCTTAAAAACACAAGAAAGCTGCTTCTAGCTTCAAATTACGTTATTAAAAGACGGTAGGGCTTCAGAAGTTCATCGATAACTTTTAAGAATGTATTTCTTTGTGAGGTTTGCTGTGAAACTGTTTTTATTTGATGCAATTTTTAGGTCTACTTGATGGTACACTGTGGGAGCATAAGCTGTTATATTTTAAGAGACAGATTGCATGTATGGGAGATATTTTATTTAAAGTTCACCCCAAACACTCCCTTTGTGGTCATATCTCTAAAAATACTCTTACTCGCCCCACAGACTCGTGAAGCCTTTGACAGACTGTAGTTTCTGACTGAGCTTGTTATTTCATTGCCAATAAATGTATTTTATCTGCATTTGGGGTTGGGGTCCTTGGTAGCAGATGTAAAATAAAATGGAATTCAATTGCAGACAGATTTTATAGATGACTTCAGTGGCTTCATAAACTAGTAACTCTCACTTTGCAGCCATGTTGTTAATGCTTGTGGACATTTATTATTTATATATATATATATATATATATATATATATATATATATATATATATATTTTAATGGGGACTGAGCCATATTTTAAATATGATTCATTACTTGGACTTATTAATGTATTACAAGGCTGGTAAGAATCCTGTCTTACCAGGTTTGGTTAGAGTAACTCGCACACCTGCTGTTCACATTTATACTTCAAACCCGTACGTTAATATGTTCTTTGTCTTCTCAGCTTATGCCACCCTGGACCTTGTCCTCAGTGTCCTGCCTTTGCAACGAAATCCTGCATCTGCGGGAAGACGAGGTACTCGACCTCTGATCACATGTGAATCTGTCTTTTTATCCTTTTGGATTTTACTTTAAATATTTCTTAATTCTAATTAAATTATGTCTCTCAAGTCAACCAGTGCGCTGCGGTCAGGCCACTGTGCTCCAATGTGACAAAGTGTGTGGTGCTGTACTCAACTGTGCTGAACACACCTGTGTGCAGGTGTGCCACAGCGGGACCTGTCAGCCATGCCAGCTGCAAGTTCAGCAGGGTGAGTCTCACTTTGGTGCAGATGAATAGCTGAATTTAGCTTATGGAACATTTTAAATGTAATGAACTCTTTTGCTGTTTTTATGGGCAGTTTGCTTTTGTGGCGTGACCGCACGGGAAGTCTCGTGTGGCACAGATAAAGCAGGATTTGATGGTTCGGGACATTTCTCCTGTGGAAAAATATGTGGGAAGTAAGTCCAACTCTTCAGCACTAATTCTGCCCATCTAAAGCTTTTATTTTGCTCCTATCACAGCCGCGTGTATTTAACTGCTCTTTTCAGGATGCTAAACTGTGAAGCCCACCGGTGTCAGCAGGCATGCCATCGTGGCCCGTGCAAGTCGTGCCCGCGCTCACCAAGCCTGGTGAATACGTGTCCCTGCGGTCAGACGCCGCTGACAAAACTCCTGGAGCTGGGTTACTCTGAGCGACGGAGCTGCTCCGATCCCATCCCCTCCTGCGGGAAGACCTGCAACAAACCCCTGGCCTGCGGCTCGAGTGGTGAGAAGAAGTGCTGTTCTGTCATGTCGAAATACTCATAGCATCAGTTAGAATTAGGAAATGATTCGAGCCTCATTAAGATTGCAAAAACAGGATCTGAAAATGTGTGACAGGTGACGCTTTTCAACAATATGTGCTGTGGCAGGAGAAAACAGGTTCTTTTCTGTCATCTGTTTTAAAGTAATATTGATAAAATGGCGATGAAGCTTTTAAAATCCAGAAGAAAGCCAGAGGAAGTTCAATGAGAAAACGGCAAACATCATGTCACTAAAGCTGAATGAATTCCTTGATCTTTCCCCTGTAAAACATCCTGTTTTTTCTTTTTATTCTCAATCTTCAACTGACTTTTGTTTCTAAAAGAAAGCAACTGCTTTCTTCTCTGTGGCCTGTTGTGGTTGTGCAAACAGGATGTACATCATGTTAGGCCTGTTTTTGTTCTTCCAGCCTGACGTGAGATAATGAACTTGTGTTATTTCAGACATCATCCATCTGTGCGAGAAGCTGTGCCACGAGGGCAGCTGTGGGCCCTGCTCTCTGACCTCAACTATCAGGTGCAGATGTGGCTCCAAGACTAAGGTTTGCAGAAATATCAGCAGCTGTGTTTTTTCTCAGTTCCATATTTTTTTTTTTTTTTATTTTGAAGACACTGAAGATTTGAAAGATTTCTCCTTTACTTTCCAGGAGGTCCCATGTGAGAAAATCCAAAAAGAAGGTGAGGTTTTAATAAATATGAGTATAGCCCACCCTGAGCTGCCGTCCTGTGTTTAAATCCTGACTTTTGTCTCTCCAGAGGAGCTCGTCTTCACTTGCGAGAAGCGCTGCAACAAGAAGCGCTCCTGTGGCCGACACAAGTGTGGGGAGCTTTGTTGTGTGGTGAGTGTTCATTGAATCTGGGTCAGTGTTTTCGACTTTATGCTCTCTGTTCTCACACACACATATACATTTATTTTTCTCTTTCCCTGACTGGTTCTGACCCCAATATTTTTGTCTCACCCGAACCAACTAACCATTGTTATTGTCCAGAAGAAAGTGTGTGTTAAACATAATAGCTGTTATCTCAATGAAATGCAACCATGTGACACACATGGCTGGTTTAAGTGAGATGGTCAGTGAATTCCCCATCTCGTCCTAAGTCAGAGCTGCACCCATTCAGCTCTCCTTACACACAGAGGTGTGTATGTGACACAGAATCATTGTAAACCAGCAGGATTATGTGACAGGTGCAGCAGGGATGTTACGGATGTTAGTCTGACTTTGTGCCATCTGTAGAAACAAGGTTTGTCTCAGCGGTGGGCAAACCATACCACCAGAAGAGTTATTTTTAAATAGCTCTAGACCCAAAGAGACCTGCATGGAGCATATTTTGCTTTAAAGTGAGTACTTACTTAACCAACGTATTTGTAATGTTTGGTCTGTTCAACTTAATGGTTTTACCTGCTATAACAACCAGCCCAACCCAACTTTGGGATAAAGAGTATGTCTTCTCTTATCTTCTATATTGTTATTGCTGTGTTGCCTTAATTAAGTATAAATTAGCCAATCAACATTATTAGTAATTGTAATGTTTTTTTGTTTTGTTTTTTTTACCACATGTGAACAGCGGTGTGGCCCCACTTATATCTTAAGTGGGCTGCACCAGTGAAACCTCCTTTTTGTCAGTGTAAAGAACTTTAACGACAAATTTAATCCCTGAGATATTTTTAATATCAGAAAAAGAAGCCAATTTCAAAACTGCAAATGGTGCCAAGCGGGCCATGTTTTAATCTTAGGCGGGCAGATTCTGACTCCCGGGTCCTAATGTTTGACACTCGTGCCCTAGGGAGTCATTAAATGCATATTAATTTCACACTGACTGCAATCGTCAGCTGATAGCAGCCAGTCTGTATTTGATTTATGCATAATTTAGCTTTTTAGTTAACAATTCTTAATTAGATTGAGGGTCTGGCAAATGCAAAGCCGGCAGGAAACATCTCGACACACTCGCTGCCTTTATACAGTCACGGCAAGCACTACAGGAATGACTTACTGTGTAATTGTCCAACAACATCCAGCTGACAGACGAGCAGTGAGGAGAAACAGCCAGAATAAACAGTAATAAAGGAAATGGGTGGACATTAGTAAGAAGGAAAGAATAGTGAGGATATGTTACTGGGTTGGGATATGACTAAATTTGAAAGCTGACTTGCTTTGTAGCTCTTAATTACTTTGCATCATGCGGGGGTGACTCTACGTTTAAATTTCAGCTTGCAGCAGCCTTCTGATAAGAGTGTTTTTTGAAGCGCGTGAGGTGATGTTAATGTTTTTGTCCGTGTGTTTTCAGAGCGTGGAGCACAAGTGCTCCATGATCTGCGGCTACAAGCTCAACTGTGGCCTCCACCGCTGCCAGGAGCCTTGTCACCGTGGAAACTGTGAACCCTGCTGGCAGTCCAGTGAGTATCGAGTTCACGAGCCAAGTCTCTGAAGTACCACAGATTTATTCTGTCTCACTAATTTGAAGCTTTAGCTGTATTTTGCTTGGCGTTAAGATGCCACGAGTGTGTCACGAGTCCCACTGGGTTTTTAGGTTTTGATGAGCTGACGTGTCACTGCGGGTCCACGGTGCTGTATCCACCCATCCCCTGTGGAACGAAGCCACCCGAGTGCAAAAACGTGTGCACGAGAAGACACGAGTGTGACCACCCAGGTGGGATTTAGCTGTAGCTCCTTACATCAGGGTTATTGTAGTTTGTGTGCTTCCCAGTTAGATTTGAAAATGTTCAGTTTTAGTTCAGTTTTCTTTAGTTTCAGTGACTCAGTCTCAGTAAACATGGCCATCAAAGACTCATTTGTATGTTTTAGATAGTTTTAGTTTAGATAACCTCGGTTCACACAGCAGCTGTATCGAATAACTGTTAATATGCTCCTGACATTTGCCTCTGATTTAGTGTTTCACAACTGCCACAGTGAGGAGAAATGTCCTCCCTGCACTTACCTCACGCAGAAATGGTGCATGGGAAAGCACGAGGTAATGTTCCCCGAGCCCACTGATGGCACGACTTGTTTCCTGTTTTTGTTCTTGCAACTGAAGCGACACCCTTTTCTCTGACTCACAGCAACGCAGCAACATCCCGTGTCATCTCCAAGACATTTCTTGTGGCCTAATGTGTAATAAAACGTTGCCCTGCGAGACGCACCGCTGCAAACGCATCTGTCACCGGGGAGAGTGCCTGCCAGAAGGCAGCTGCCAGCAGCCCTGCACGCTGCCTCGTCCAGACTGCGGCCACCCGTGCGCTGCTCCCTGTCATAAAGGCAGCAGCTGTCCACGCACCACCTGCACTGCCAAGGTACAGAGCAGTGCCACTGAGAACAGCTGGACTTCCAGTGGCTCAAAAACAGGTTACAGAGTTTGTACAGATGTTCTCTGTCACATCAGGGCTTGGGTTTTTCAGCACATTTTCCCACCATCAAAAGTCCCTCCTCTCTCTAATAACTTATTTCCCTCATGCAAATGTTTAGTGAATAAATTCAGTGTCACATCTGCTCAATAGTCCAGCTGTGAACCCGCTGTTTTTGCATGAAGGCTGAGGACATGTGGCGCGGTGCTGTGTAACTGTCATAAATGGTTAACTTGGAACAAATAATAACACATCAGTGGCAGGCTTCAGACTCCAGAGGGAGGCCATTCACAGCTGCACGAATTCTTCGTGTGAACTGACCTGACCTTTTTTAATTTGCGTATTTGTGCTCTTACAGAAACACTTCTTCTCCAGGGAGGAGAAATCTAATCCTTTGTGTCGTTCGCAGGTTGCGGTACAGTGTGAGTGCGGTCGTAGAAAGGAAACCGTGGCCTGTGCAGAAGCAGCCAATTCATACCAGAGGTCAGCTCTGCTCCCATGTGTTCAGCTTTTTTTTTGTGTTTTATTCTAGACCTCGTTTGGCATTTCTCTTTTTGGCGACATATATATTCTGTTATAGCTGTGAAAAAACCCCTCAGTCTTCAGGCTCCTGTAAAAGCTCAGATTCAAGGAGTTCAGTGTTTTTTGAGGAGCAGCCAATCAGAAGAAAGCTGGCTTAAAGTCAGAGGAGTGTTAAAGAGCTCGTTTCAGACAGTGGATGAGCTGAAGGGCACCACCATGGCCCAGTTTAATAATAAGTAAAGATTATATTAGACTGTGAATGATGCAAAGCTACTAATGTAGCATCTAGGAATAAAATTAGAATTTGAAACGAGCAACATTTATCCGATATTTTTGGTTTTGTTGTGCAGGTATGCTGCCATTGCCATGGCCAGTAAGCTTTCGGACATGCAGCTCGGTGACTCCATGGATATCGGCCCGCTGATCTCTAAGAAAGAGCTGAAACAGACGAGGTAGAGTGGTGCAGGGAATTAATGATTTAAAGCTCGAACCAGAGGTGTCAAACTCAAGATGTGAAACATTTGCTGAACAGGATGTTCGAGCTTAATTATTTCAAGATTATTTGAACAACAGGCGAGTCCTTATGTGTGATGGCCAAGATGCAGCTCTTGTTTGAAAGTAATTATGTAAATAATTTCCTGGAGAGGGCCAGATTTCGTTCTTTAATCCATTCAGTGGATTACTTTGAACTGCAGCTGAGGTGTGAAAAGCAGTCATCCTAGAAATGCGATGCTTTCTCAGGCTCGAGTGCGATCAAGAGTGCGCCACTTTGGAGAGGAACAGGCGCTTGGCGGAGGCGTTGCAGATCGACTCGTCTTCTGACCCCTTCAACGTTCGCTCCACCTCTGCGTACAGCGACAGCCTCAAAGACGACGCCAGGTCTGATATCTGTTTTACTCCACGGTGACGGTTATGTGACGCCATGTTTGGGTTAATATTCAAAGTCAGAGGGAGCGCTGCACTGAAACTGCAACTCTGCTCTGCTTGCGTTTCAGAAAAGACCTGAAGTTTGTCACAGAGGTGGAAGAGGAGATCAACAATCTTGTAGAGCTTGCTAATAAGGTACGATCTGTATTTGAGTCTCCTTTTCCTGTTTAGGGGTGAGGTGTTATTTAAGAGCTCTAATGTGATGTAATGCTCCATCTGGTGGAGAATCTGGGAGACTGCTGTAGTCCCAAGTTTTTAGTGGTGAAGCATTTTACTGAGTCACTCGCATTAGTCAGTATATTTGCATTCAAGTCAGTGCAGCATTTGTACATAATTACCCCATAAAATATTTTGTTTTAAACTGAACTTTAACCCTAAGTTTTTAAATTTTTGAAACTTTAATGATCATTAATATAACATGTATATCATGTTCTTTCTAGTTAGTTAATGTCATTTGCTCCGTTTAGCCACGATTTCTTTATATTTTTGTTGTTTACTGCTAAGGGATATAATTAGTAAAACAGCTGGGCTTTAAGCTTAATGTGAGAAATACCTTATTTATCCCAAACTTTGGTAAAAAGCTGTTAGAGCAGCCAAAACATTAAACACAGACTCTAGCTTAAATAAAGTGGAGTAGACGAATAAAATAAAATGGCATGATGTAACAAAATACCTCAATGTACAAACTACAGAGAAGAGAGGAGATAAATTTAAGAAAAGGGAAAAGATAATATGAAATTTAAAAATAGAAGTTTTAATTTGATAAGGTAAAATGTATAAAATAGAGTAAAACACTGTATAATGCATATGGAGCACTTAATAAGTAAACCTTTAATGAAGGTTAAACATAAAAACATAATAATAATAAAAGAAATCAATAAATGGATTAAGTACAATAAGTCTAAAAATAATATATGATGATTTAAAATAAACATGTAAATAAAATGCAAGAAAAGGTCAAAATTAGGAAGAATCTCAATAAAATTCAGTGACATGCTATATAAAAAGTTTCGTAAAATACAGTAGGGGGCTTAGTATTAAAAAAATTAAAAGAAAATGAAGGTTTAAAAAGTAAAACTATTAAAATACAAAAATATGTTATGTTTAAAGTGGCTCTGTTGAGCACACGAGCTCAGTATTGTTGCTTGCCATTTGAAGCGGAAAGTCTGGATTTTTATGGAATGGCTCCTCAAGTCGGATTTCCAACTCAGGAAGTTGGAGAACCCCCACCAACCCCGACTTCACAATCCAAGATGGCAGCAGTGTGTAAATATCAGTAAAAGTGTAAAACCTAGGAGGCAGTAGTAGGTAATGTGTACTATCACAGTGTTTGTGTATTTGTGACTTGCTAAATAAGCTGAGCACTGAGCGCGCTCCATCCAGAGCTGCAGCCGGTGTTTAAACGGCTTTATCACGAGTGATGGATGAATGGCTCTGGTTTGTTAAGGAGCAAAACAAAAAACTTTTCTTTTATTTATTACAAATGATTGATTATTACTTTTATTACTATCATTTCTGATCCGCATGGAGTCATTAAACTTGGTGTCAGCCCGAGGTGGAGACAGTGGCCCTTTACGGCTGTGTCACTAACAGCTTATTTAGCTTCATTATTTTGTGCCCCAGTTGTTGTATTTTCAGCTCTTTTGTCACAGTTTCCAAGCTCAAATAAGCGAGTAGGAGACTTCTCGGGCAGATGGAAACGTCTCCACGTATTTATTTATTTCTTCCAGTCCTCTGTGATTCACCGAGGCTCTCTGAGAGACCGACATTACTGCTTTGATTTCTTTTCCAAAGGACTTGTTTATTACTTAGCTGAGCCTCTTTTTGGAACGACGGGTCATGAATGAAACCTTTTTCTGCCCGGGAGTCAGCTTAGTGAAATGTTTTATCTTATTTTCTCAAGGCATGTTGTGCTGACTTCACTGATTTCATTTTTTGGGCTCTTTCTTCCCTAAAAAAACGAGTTATTAAATCTACTCCTCTGCTTAAATTTTGCTAAAATCCCCTCCAACAGCCCTCTGGCAAAGAAAGGGATTCAGTTTTGTACCAGCTGTTGTTCTCTTTTACTCTGAAAAGTCAGGTCAAATGTGCCTACTGACCCGTCTATATAAAATAGGCCACGCGTGCACTACAAGCTCAAAAGTACATGGACGCTTCAACTCGTATGTATAGACATTAAGCTGCTGCTGTAACAGCCTCCACTCTTCTCCCTAAACCTTTCACATGATTTTTTTGGGACCTGCCTGCAGGGATTTGCTCCCATTCAGCCACAGAAACATCAGATAGGGCAGCACAGATGTTGACAGACATGAACTGGATCACAGGCCAGTTCATCCCAAAGGTTTTGGATCTAAGCCCCCCACCAAATTTAAAAGAAAACAAACACATTTCTTTATGGATGTGACTTTTGGGCGTGAAACAGTCACGTTGAACCAGGAGGATCCCAAACAGTGAGGACAAGGCTGAAAGTATTTATGAAAGTGATAGATTTGTATCACTTCATACCAGAGGTCAGCTCACAAAACGTGATTTGTACTCACGTTTGTAGTTTGGAGCAAAGTTATTATAGTAAAGTTATATTAAAACAAAATAAAAAGTTTGTTGTCCTTAAATCAGCAAATAAAATAAAAAGTAGTGTTTGCTAAAAAAAATAAAATAACAATGAGATAATACTTGAAAAAGTGATTTTAAAAAAAGCAAAACAAGTATTTTTATTTTGTGATTTTATTTATTTATACAAAAACAGACATTAAAAGTTAGCATTGTTTTTAAGATGCATTATATCAACACAAATATAAAAAACAGAAATAAAACAGAAAACGGCATGTACAGTAAAATGGAAACATTGAAGGATGATGATAGTAATAAGACCCATTCCAATGATCAGATGTGTTTTTATTCCCGGTGGCAAAGTGTTTCAAATTTGTGGACCTTTAATTTTAAAAGAGGACCGACCAAATGTTCTTTTACATTTGGTAACATACAATCTCATTAAATGCTCCCCTTGTGGTTGCAGCTTTACCTGCTAGAGTGACTGAATTGGGGCCATTTAAAAGCCAAGAAAACATGAAAAATCCAAGCGCAGGATGTTTCGCAGCTGGACAGATGTGTTAATGATGTGCTACCCTGTTAGCGAAGCTGCTCCACTGCCTGTCCGGTAAGCGGTGCAGAGAGTAGTCGGGGTTATCGATGATAGATGACGGTTTGTTCAGCGACATCCTCGCCACCTCTGATTCAACAGCTTGCAGCCAATCGCAGAGCCAGCCTTCCCGATCAGTTAATTCAGTCTGCTCGTGATATCAGTAGACCACAGCAAAGTACGCTGAGCTCCCCACAATCGTTATGAAATGGAGCCTGTTAATCCCCTTCTTGTGTACAGCCTGTGCAGGAAATGTCCTTAACTAAACACAACCAGCCCGAGGAGACTGTGGTGCATGTGAACATCATGTTTGTTGAGACTAGTGTGTCTGTGGGACTGTGAGTCAGCTGCCTTCACTGTGTCTGGACTCTTATACCTGAAGCACTTGCATTTTGCTCCTGAAACACAGACTCCCTGCTTATTAATTCTCAGTTTTGTACATGTAGTACACTGAAACATGCAGGCATCTCTCTGTTCATAAATGCATACTTTCATAGCAGCGTTTGGTTATGCACTATAGATGAAAATATTGGGGGGGAATTTTCCACAGTCGTTAAAAAACAGATTGAGCCGACCGGATGAGCCTGAGAGAGCCTGCTCCAAAAGCACCATCACCCCTGGATTTCAAAGAAGAGTGTGGAGCATTTAAAAGACCCTGATCACATGATCAGACCAGGCTATTATAGACTGCTATTATAAGGTCACAGCGGGTCCATTATGTAGCTAGTTGTGTAGGGCTTTATATGCAATTAATAAAATCACATGATTAGAGAGGCTGACTGCTGTGGTAAGGTCTCAGCAGGTCATCAGCTGGCACTGAGGTTAGAAGAGGCAGGAAATGGAGGGTGGAGAAAAGCGGTGGAGGTGGTGGAAACGCACTTGAGACAAAAGGCACTGGTGGTCACCGTGGTGATGGGTACACAAGGTCTGGGCTTGTTCCCAAAGAGCCAGGTCTGGTCAGAAAGGTCCAATGCAACAGAGCCATGAAATAAAGTCCAAGCAGGTGTAGAGGTGGAGAACGTGAGCAGTGGTGGAGCTCTGATAGCAAGGAGCATGGACAAGATGGGAGGGGACCCTCCAGCGCAGGGTCACCTGGGCACACTTCCTGTCCAACTTGGCTCTGGACAAGTTTCCGTCTTCTCTGCAGCTGCCCAAAGGCTCTGACAGACAGCCGCTATCTGTGGCATTACGACCAGGTGCTGAAGGCGGTGGCTAAGAGTTTTAGCTTCAGCCATCAGCACCAGCAAACACCATCATGCTTTAAAGAAGACTATATCCTTTGTGAAACCTGCTGTTTTCCTGTTTCTTTACTCTTTGCCGCTTAACTACTCACACTCGCTCTCTCTATTTTCTCGGCCGTCTTCAGCAGACAGTTCAACTTTTTCACCTGTTTTCAACTCATGATTTCCACTACACGGCATTTTCCCAGGAAATGCAACTTTTTCTAGTCTCACAATAAATGTTTGATTTTTGCAGTGAATGAAAGAAGCTTCGAAATGTGAGATTTTAAAAATTCAAATGCTACCAAGGTTCTTAGCAGGAGATATATTTCTTTAATTAACAGGGATAGCGCCTGTTAATGGACATCAGAAACTATAAGATGTGAACGGGCTAGACTGAAGCAAAACTGCTCCCAGCCCAGGTCAGATCAGACTTCAGTGAACAAATATGTACAGGAACACAACAAAAACGTCACACAGAAGTGAGTTATAAGTGGTCGCAGACCTGCTCTTTACTGCTATTGGTAATAATGACGGTGAGGGGGTCGATATAAGGACTAACATACACAGACATACCACTAAAAATAAACCCCAAAACTAAATTAAGCGCCAGATTAGACTTTTCTTTGTTTGCCTCGTTTCTGTCTTGTGACACTTAAAACAAAGCAGTGTTATTTAAGGCCTGAAGAAGAGATAAGAAACCAAAACAACAATCAAAGAAAGTCTGGTAAAATAAAAAAAATCTGTATTTGTGATTCTTCCCTGTCATCTTGTGACTGCAGACTTGAGCTGCGACCTTTTAGAGGTGCCCGACATCACCACGAATGCGGCTTTGTAGCTGAAATGCAACTAAACATGCGAAAAGCGAGCATGACCGTAGCCTTATGAAGCATCCGTTTCTGCAGGGAAAGCAGTCGAAGAGGAGCCACTGTTTCCCGCCGATGAACCGAGAGCATCGGAAGATCATCCACGAGCTGGCCGAGGTCTACGGCGTGGAGAGCGTGAGCTACGATAACGAGCCCAAACGCAACGTGGTCATCACGGCTCACAAGTGAGAGCGCGACTAAATATATGAGCGCCGTTATCATAGATGAGAAATGCGGTAATCGTGGAGTCGAGGATGTGCCTGTGTATCTTGTTTTGTTTTGTTTTTCTCGCCCAGGGGGAAGTCGGCCTGCCCGAACTCAACCCTGACTTCACTGATAGAGCGAGAGACAGCTGCACGGGCTCCTCCTCCCATCGCTCATATCAAACAGCACAGCAGCAAGTAAGTGTTAATCTGTGGTTAGAGAGACTCTTCTATACGACTCCAAAAATGTCCTTAAACAACACTCGGAGACGGACTGTCTTACTTTCATGCTGCTGTTTGTTAGTGTCTTTCGCTGCCTGCTTGTGATTCTTCTTTTTGTGTTTTCTCATCAATTAATCTCCTGCCAGGTCTGCCGGTGGAAGCACCTGGTCGAAGATGGTTAAAGAAGAGCCCGCGATCGATTATTTTGACGTCCAGGACTGAAAGTAAAAACAAATCTTCTGCCAAAAAGTCCAAAACTCGTTTCATTTGCATTCATCTGAGACCAATAATCATAATTTCTCTGGCTTCTTGTTGATAAAAAATAAATGTTTGGAAATATTTCAAAGCTGCAATGGTCTCTGGGGAACTCTCACTCTTGTTATATGTGGGAGGATGAATTGAGCCCTTGAATTTTGACATTAAAGTCCATGAAGACTTTCCCTGTTTGAAAAGCTCCTGCGTGTTTTCTTTGCCTCCCTGGTATGCGTTTTAATAAAAAGCGAATTCTTCCCTATTTAATGGGTGCAGATGTTGATATGAAATTTAATACATCGGCTCCAGAATATCTCCGATGTCCACATTAGGTGCTCTATCGCTTACTCAGGGTTAAGTCTGTATGGCAGGGATGTGTTGTTGTTCTTTCTGCAAGGCTTCATGAGGGCGGGTGGGTAAGAGTCAGTGGGCTGCATTGCATAAAGAAAGCTTTGCTCCAAACACAACTATGACCCAGATGTGGCGCTGCACTTTGTGAAAACTCTTCCTGGGTAAAACGTGAAGGCACTCGGAGGTCGAGCTGATGCAGCAGGATGTGTGTCGTAGATGAGATGAGAGCGTAGATCCTGTTCTCCAGCTAATGGACTGTTTCACCCACTGCTGCGGCCTGTGAGGTTAGGATGCTGAGTCAGGCAGACTCCAGCACTGAGTGGACACTACAGGATGGACAGCTACTCGCACACTCTGTGTTTGCCGACTTAAAGGTTCTCATTGATTAAGGCCTCTCCTCTCTATAGGTACATGCTAATGGATTTCAGGATACTAACCAGCTTTCTGTACAGATGTTCTCATTTTATTTTATCACCTTTATTTAAGCAGGAAATCCCACTGAGGTCAAATCTCTTCCACAGTGGAGACCTGGCAGCCGCATAAATAAACACAACATGATGGATAACATGACAACTCACATTTTCTCCATAACTATATTTGTTTAAATTCAATAATATCTTTTTTTCTTGTAAGGGCTTTTCAAGATTTTTTTGCATCAATGACATTTGGAAAATACACATTTACGTGTTTACTTCTACACATGTTGTCAAATTGGTGCATAAACAATGACTTTTAACACATTTAGAAATGAAGGAAGCTCACGAGATGAATAAATGTTCCTTTAATGTTAGTAAGCAAGTGGGAGAAGATTTGTTGCTGTTGTTTATAATTTATACTCTAGTTTTTTTGTAAATTTATGCTTATCCAACAAAATCTTTAAATCAAGATCTCAGATTATTAACTGAAAGTTGTTTTTGTCCTTTTTTTGTTGTTGTCAGTTTCAAGTTATCTTCTCAGCGTTTTAAATTTGTCTCAGACCAACCACGAGTTAGCGTTATTAAGTTTTGTGAAAATGACCTGAAATTTTGAGTTGCACATGTCAAAATAAATAAATAACCCCAGTGCGTAATATTAATGTACAATGGTATATTTACTGATGAGAGATTTTTAATGAAGTGGTCAGAGCAAGACTGTCCTGGGTTTGAATCCACCGCCTGGCTCTGTGCAGTCCAGCTTCCTCCCACAGTCCAGAAACATCCATGTTTCATTAACTGGACCTAACTGGTTCGAAATTGGCCAATGGGTGATAACGGGTAATTTATGTGTTAACTTTACTACTCTTGAGTCAAATTAGTACTCATTCACTGACAAAATTCAACATTTAGATATTTGAACAAGTGGAGTCTGGTTTCATGATGTTGCTCTTTACATTTTTCACTTGTCCACTTCAGCAGCACCTGCATACACCAAACTATTCAATTATTTTTTCAAGTTTCAAGGTTATTCATTTATATTGCACTTTTAAAAACAACAGTTGTTGACCAAAGTGATTCCTTTCAATCCTGAAGGTTTCTTTTTTTTCTTTTCCCCATCCTGAGTTCCAGAATAGAAACACAGCAGGAATAGACTTTTTCTGGCAGTTGTCTGTATTTCGTGATTCATGAAGTGATAAAAAGATATTCCTAATATGTCAGCAAATACCCCTTTTCCACATAAGTGCCAGTGTTCAATCTAGAACTGGTTCCATGCATCCTTAGCCTTAAAAGGACCATTACCAGTGCCAGAAACCTGGCACCAGCAGACTGCTGGGCCACATAGTTAAAACCACTGACACCAGTAGCTATGGGAGAGGCTGCGGATTCAGGTCACAGATGATTTTCTTTACCCTGCTCCATAATAACCAGGACTCAGGCAGAACTGCTGCTAAATATAAAACTATATTATTTATGCTGGCTTTATCCACTTTATGCAAACGAGTGCATATTTACACAGACAGTCCCCAATCTGCAGACACAATTCTGATTTTTGCACGCATTTCTAGTTTTGTTTAAATCATTTTTCATGAATATTTTACAGCTCAAATGAAGCTAGTAGAACAAAACGTTTGGTAATAATTACACAGAAAGTCCAATATTATAAAGAATCAAGTTCAAAAGTCAGAGGTAAGAGCCGGACAATGAGCTGCCACAGTATATCCACCACGTGTTATAAATCTGGCTCATTTCATTCATAAATCTTCACTCTGGCACTAAAAAAAATGTGTGAAGTGATAACTTGTAACTGCCGCGTGAAGCATTAGTAAATTATCCATTAAAGCAGCAATTAGCCACAACTTAACAGCCTCTTTATCGACGGCTCCTCATTAGAAAGTGGAACAGATCTCTCGGTTAGGGAGCTGGTGGTGCTGCTGCTCCTTTGTTGCTGTAGTGCACCGGGTTTATCCCCCCCCCTCATCCCGCCTCCCTCCCTTTTGTTCCTGCACTGCATTTACATGTACAGCATGTGTTTGGAGCAGGATAACCTGAAATCATTTCACTGTGCGCTTTGGGTTAAATAAAAATCTTCCCTTCCTCCCTTAAAATAAAAAATGAAAAAAGAGAGAGAGCGAGAGATGAGGATAATTTGATGACACTCCCTGCCACTGGTAATTTTTCATTATATCGACTCTCCAGCAGAGACCGCGCCTGCGCTCCTGCTCCCTTCCGAACAAGGCTTCACCAATCCTGGCTCTGGCTCCATCCCCGGCTCGGCGTCCCACAGGCCAGCGCTAATAAGTCGCCTAGCTGTCCAGTAATGGGGGAGTGATCGAGGGGGGAGACGCTTGCTGCTGTGTGAAAGCCCGTGAGGAAGTTGAGGGGAGAAAAGCAGCTCCACGCCGCGCCGGACCGGACAGCTCCACAGAAACACATCCTACAGTTGCCGTTGTTGAGTAGCCCTTAAAAAAAGAGAAAAGAAAAGAAAAAAGGGAAGAGAAAAAAAGCGCACAGTGATGGAGAGAAAGGTATGGATGACGCTTATGCTACCTCGCGATACGTTAGCGCGGTTTGTTTTATTCCCACAGTGAGTCTCCGCTGCTCTGCCAGCCGCATCCACCATTAAAACTACTCTTTATGCGTTTAGGCTTCATCCTGTAGGCGCAGTCGGATTAGTGCGCACCGGAGTTTTTTACCTCGTCTCGCTTCAATTTATTGTGAGCCTCAAAAAACAGAGAGAAGAGAAAAAAACAGGGGAAACTGCAATTTCCACCTCGTGGTGATTTTAGCCTCGGTGTACAAATGTAGCGTGATGTGGTTGGCAATATTTAAGGGGGGCACTGTAGGCTCTCTCTCAGCCTGTCTGCATCATCACAAGGCACAGTGTGTAGTTGCAGCACCTCACCCTCCTCCACCTCCACCTCCCACCCCCTCCCTTGTTTTTTTTTTTTTCGTTTTTTTTGCAGCACACGCAGACACCAGGCAGCTCGGCTTGTTAACCTTGACTGGTGTGAGAAACAGACACTTGAGGAGTAATAGATGGGATGCACGGCGAAGCCCCTGCCATCCTCTCGCCTTCTTCTTCTTTTTTACGCATGCCTTTAATCCATTACCCCTCCCTCCTCCGTCCCCCCCGTCACCCAGTTTTGAAACAACAATATAATGTGCTGTTGCTTCTCTAAGTGTGTCCGGTGCAGGGGGGAGAAAGAAGAAAGTTTCAGTTTCACTGTGTTAATCTGCTGGCAGTCTGCGGTGCACTCAGGAGCAGGGGGGGATTTGGGGGTGTACAGCTCCTGAAGCCAGATCTGCTTCTGCTGATCCCAAGGAAAATCTAATTTTTATATTAAAGCTGCAGTCAGCAACATTTCATCTGGAGGAAAAATAAATTCTCTATTTTTTGAGGAGAGTCTGCCAACATAGTTAAGGCATTCACCTCTATGCAGCTTAGAGTGAAATAATTGATGCTATCTGGCTTAGGACAGTTACCACTCCCATGTTTGTCTCTTAAATGTGATTCAAGTTACCTGAAGGTGGTTTATATTGCAAAGTAAAGATAAAAACCCAAACTGTCAGATGATTCTTTATGAGCAAGCACTTGGCGACTGTGGGGAGGAAAAACTCCCATTTAACAGGAAGCCTGTTGGCCTGTCTTAATATGGATGCTGGAAATGTCCTAAAATATCGAACTGTTCCTGAATCTTCTGACCGCTTTTCTTTGAGAAGTTTGCACATTCTCGCTGTGCCTTTGTTTATCTCAGTGGTTCTCAAACTGTGGGGCGGGCCCCAAGGCACTGCAGGTAGACGTGGATGGCCAGGTGATATATATTGCAGGGTGAACCTATATAAAGAAAGAGTTTGTCCTCTGTATCACTAAAATTTATCTGGGATCTTTATTTTAATAATTGATAAAAATGTTGCATGCTCTGTTATTTTTAGCCTCAGTAGCAGCTGGCCTGTCAGAATTAGTTTGAAAATACTGGGGTAATTGGTGATTCTACATTGGCTGTAGGTGTGGTCAGTGTAGCACACGTTACAAAGGTTAATGTGGTGGGTAGTGTAGATTAATTGGAGGGATCAATGAGAGAGCAAAAATGGGTGTAAATGCCACTTTATTCTATTCCAAAAAGATTTTACATACATGTTATTTTTTTCTTTTTAAGCTGTACAGATTTCAAGGTGCATGCTGCTGTTTCCACCTGCCCTCAGGCTTCAAGCTAATCTTAGCCAGAGACATTATATAAGGAGGAGACAGGGTACACAAAGTATAACATCCAAGAGGAAAACGCTTGGAAAAACATATTTTGGGGCCAAAGTTTGCATGTTTTTCTGGCTGCGACTTGCTTCTAAAAGGTCTGTCACTACCTGATTTGTTTTACACATGTGCAAAACTTTATGTACTTCCTGTCATCACAGCAGATTGCAACACATTAGAAAGACTGGTTTTCTTGAAGGTGTTGGGTTAAAATTAGTCTCCTGCTGTTGCCAGATGTCTGTGTTCTCATCTATATCAATGCTGTAACGCTCTATACTTCATATTTTTGCTTTTTTCGCGTATCTTTTTAAGTAGATTTTTCTCTGTTAGTATGTTTTATTTATTTAGTTTTTTTTTTTTTTTACAGTTTGATGAATACTTACACAGATGTAATTAATTTTTCATACTTTGTGTTTTGTTTTTTTTTAAAGCCAACATTCTTGTTCATGGAGCACAAAACCAGCTTCATAGAAATTCTTTATTTGCTTAATTAGATCCATATATTAACCAAAACCAGAAAACAATGTGCCTTTTTTATACAGAAAAAAGCTCATCTTCTATGTAATAACTAGTTAAATTAAATATATATTTAAATATAAATTTCTTTGAAACACTTCTACAAACCCTTTTATCTGCAGCAGTTATGCAGTGTATTTGTCAAGACTTTTATTGTGAAAGGAAGCAGCGTAGTCCTTTTTGCATGTGCTTAGAGAAAATTGAGTACGTATTAGAGATGGCACGATACCACTTTTTTATGTCCGATACCGATACCGATATCATAAATTTGGATATCTGCCGATACCGATATGAATCCGATATAATGTTTTTTAATCAACAAAACTGTTTTTTAAATATCTTGCTGCATTTTGTATAAGTTCATACTCAAGTTTAAAACAACAACTACACTAAAGCTATTCTGTTATACCTATATGCAAAAAAAAAAATTTCATAGTTCAGCAATACTGATCAATCTAATAAACTTAAACCTACACCATCCTCCCTATTCTGGTATTTTAAAGAGTACTTAGCGTAAATATTAAGCAACCTAACTAATAGGGTTCCAACTCCCAGCAACAACAAAAATAAATAAATAAAAAATAGGGAACCACCCCTCACGCTCCACCTCATGATGCTTAATCAACGTAATCAACCTTAATTTGATGCAGTGTGAAAAAAAAATGCACAGAAATCAATTATTTTTCAAGAAATATTAAATAGATTCAACATCTTTCTTCAACAAAATTGCAGACTGCACAGATGGTACCTTCCCAAAGGAAAAAGTACTATAGCTTACTAGGGTATATATATTAGACTTAATAGTCACTATATACAGTAATGGACTTCTATTCATTTTACATCAAATTAAAACTTTGGGTGTAAGATTCGGATAATTATTTATTAAAA